TTCACTTTCAACTATTTAGAAGCATCCACAGACCATTCAACACAGTACAACCACCACCACACCACTGCTGTCGTGAACTTCAGCAGTCGAAAAACCCTACTTTCAGCACACATATGAGGTAAAAACAGAGGAGAACAAGGCTGATATGCATACTACTCACTTCAAACCTCCACAAAAAAAAATATTTTGAACCAAAACACAGCATTTACAGTCCACTATTTGGGCAGAAAAAACAGAACTGTTCATACCTGTCACAAACAGCCCTCTTCATATCACAGAATAGAGGGCATCTAGTACACAACCTCAACGACCACCACCACAGTAACTGGAGGCATACTCACCTCCAAAACCACAAAACGACTACTCCTTTTTGGCCTCTTGTCGAGCTTTCACTCAGGCTAGAAGAAAATTGAAGAAAGCTGAAATGGTTGGCGGCGAACCCAAGAAGAAGACAAACAGTGAGGAAAGGAAAAAAAAAGGAAAAGAGAACTAGGTTTTATTGCTCTGATACCATGTAAAATCCCTAGAAGAAGGAGGAGAAGAAGGGTTCGGCCAGATTAGGAAAAAATCAGTCCACCTCTAGCCGACCCACTTATATTTATCTCCAATAGCATAGTTACAAGAAAGACCATATTGTCCATCATAAGTGATGGGACACATAACTTAAACTTAAATAAAATAGACCTTTCACTCTCAAATAGATAAACCCAAATGACCAAAATACCCCTGATTTGTGTATTCTAACAATATATAACTTGTTTAAGGTCGCATGCCATGCACATATGCAATTAAGCTTAACCTTATTTTTTTCTTTTGAAGATAAATAAAAAAGAAAATTTTATTAAAGAAAAAAATAGTAATACACCAGGGTGATTAGATATCACCCACAGTAGGCCAAAGACCAACCTTAACCACCAAACACACAGACCCAAGAAACAAAAAAAAAAAGACAAATTTAAAAAAGAAAAACTTCCCAAAACATCTACTCCTAGAATCCCCAAACCAAAACCGACCCTACCAAACCTCTCCACAGAGAATTCTCTTAAGATCTTTCTCCAATTGGATTATGTCTCTGCTCCAATTCTCAAAAAACTTTTCTCACAAATTCTTCCCTTTTGCTTATAATTAAAAATATATGATGTAAAACAAATAAAATAAAATAATATAAATAAATATAAAGCTGGAAAGGGGGGCCAGATTTGACAGCTGGCCCACTCCACATAAATTCAAATTTTAAAGTTTTGGTTATGGGGGTGTGGGGGGGGAGTTAGGCAACCACCCCACGTATGAAGAGTGGGGAGGTTGCTCTAACCTCCCTACCCCATAACTGTCTCCCTCTATATAAGGGGGAGAGCAGAAGAAAATGGGGTCGGCAGATAGAAGAGAGGAGAGAAAGAAATAAAAAAAAAAAAAAGAGAGAAAGAGAAGAAAAAGGAGAGAAGAGAGAGGAAGAGAGGAAATAAGGGAGAGAACTTAGAACTGATTGAAGAGGATAAATATACACAGGTACAGGTTTTATGTTATTTTATTTTATCTCTTATTTTCTATCCCTAAATTTAGTATATTCCCAATCCATATCTCTCTTTCTCTCTCTAGGGTTCTGTTGAACTCCAACTCTTATCTCAATTGTTTTCTCGTATCCGGTGGATTCTATCCACCACAAAAGAATGTATAAAATAGATAAAAAAGGGATTAATACTGGGACCTAGAGTTCTGTTTAATGGTGGGTCCTACCCACTATAAGATTTCATCATATTTGGGATAATTCGGTGGCTCTTATCCACCATTCAAATAGGCTGATTAGTGGGCCATACCCACTGTTCTAGCAGGCATCACTTATCCTAATTGATTAAATCATATTTGGGATAATTCGGTGGCTCTTATCCGCCATTTAAATAGGCTGATTAGTGGGCCATACCCACTGTTCTAGTAGACATCACTTATCCTAATTGATTTAATCATATTTGGGCTAATTCGGTGGCTCTTATCCACCATTAAAACAAGCTAACTAGTGGGCCATACTCACTGTTCACGACAAGTGTCACTTATTCTGATTTAGTGGGTAGACCCACTAATTAATTTAATCTTCTTTGGGCTAGTCCGGTGGTTCTTACCCACCATTAAAGAAGGTTGACTAGTGAGCCATATCTAATGTCACAATAGATGTCATCTATCTGATTTAGTGGGTCCCCACCAAGTTACCTTGCAACAGCATAGTACAGTATTGCAATCGGTGGATCCTCTCCACCAAATCCAAGTAGATCTACTGTATAATAGCAATGCTAATTTAGTGGGTCCCACCAACCATAACCAGAACATTTAAGTTTAAAGTGGGCCATGTTCACTATTTAAGCAACATATATTAGTGGGTCCCACTTGTTAGTGGGGCCCATTGTTAAAATATTTAAGTTTAAAACGTTAAAGTGGGCCATGCCCACTATTTAATCAACATAGTAGGTCCCACTTATCAGCGGAGTCCACTGTTAAATTATTCAATGTCAAAGTGGGCTATGCCCACTATTAAATCAATATAGCAGGTTCCACCTATCAGTAGAAGTTAAAATATTCAATATAAAAACATTAAAGTGGGTTACACCCACTATTAAACTAATCTAGTGGGTCCCACCTGTCAGCAGGGCCTACTGCCAAAATATTTAAGTTTTAAACCTCAAAGTGGGTCATCCCCACTATCAAACCAAACTAGTGGGTCTCACCTATCAGCGGAGCCCACTGTCAAAATATTTAAGCTTAAAATCTTAAAGTGAGCCATGCCCACTATTAAATCAAACTAGTGGGCCCCACCTGTCAGCGGGGCCCACTGTTTAAATATTTAAGTTTAAAATCTTAAAGTGGATCATGCCCACTATTAAATCAAATTAGTGGGTCCCACCTGTCAACGAGGCCCACTGTCAAAATATTAAAGTTTTAAATCTTAAAGTGGGTCACACCCACTAACAAATCAACCTAGTGGGTCCCACCTGTCAGCGGGGCCCACTGTCAAAATATTTAAGTTTTTAAATCTTAAAGTGGGTCATGCCCACTAATAAATCAACCTAGTGGGTCCCACCTGTCAGCGGGGCCCACTGTCAAAATATTTAAGCTTTTAAATCTTACAGTGGGTCATGCCCACTAATAAATCAACCTAGTGGGTCCTACCTGTCAGCGAGGCCCACTGTCAAAATATTTAAGTTTTAAATCTTAAAGTAGGCCATGCCCACTAATAAATCAACCTAATGGGTCCCACCTGTCAGTGGGGCCCACTGTCAAAATATTTAAGCTCAAAACTTTAAAGTGGGCCATGTCCACCATCAAATCAAACTAGTGGGTCCCGCCTATTAGCGGGGCCCATTGTCAAAATATTTGAGTTTAAAATATTAAGGTGGATCATGCCCACCACCAAATCAGTATAGTGGGTCCCACTTTTTATCGATTAACAGGACTCACTGTTAAGATGTACCCAATGGTGTATGGGTCCCATGACCTATCTACCAAATTGTGGGGCCCACTCATGGGTATAACCCATTAAGAGTCCAAGCTGATGGGACTGCTTATACCTGTTATTGGGTTTAACCCTTACAAAGTAGTTCTTTCACATAAGATCAAAATCCAAGGGTATTTCCTTCAAGAAATATAATTAAGGGGTTTTAGCAGACATAGTGCATACTTATATACCCTGAATAGGGAAACCCTAATTCTACTCAAGTTATTTTTTTATGAATTATGATCAAAACACCCTACTAAAAAAGAAAGCCCTAAAGTCACTTGGGCTTCAATTTGCACTACCTTTTCCAAGTATTAACCTTATATGATATGATGCTAGTAAAATACTATCTTTTAACTTTTATGGCCTACACAGAAACCAAGGCAAGTCAGTACTACATAGTTTAGATATTTTATATTATACAAAGTATAACATAAGTTTTATATGTATATGGCATATATTATACATATTTAATATTTTACATTTAAAATCATAGGCCCGGGCCTGGGCTTATGTTTCAAGCCAAGGCCTACGCCCAGGCTATAGCCCTTATTATAGATGCCAAGCCCAGCCCATCCCAACCCATGATCACCCCTGATATAATACATTTAATTAGACTTCGGAATGGATGATTTTTTCCTTTATCAGTAACAAACAGAATTTTATTATTTTCACAAATATATATATAGAGTACAATGCTCATGTGCCTAGCACCCTTTGAGGTTCTCCTCGGCTAATTACTCCTAAGTCATTTATTTCACTTGGTATAATATTCCCCAATGCATTCAATTTCTGTGTAACCCTGATTTTGCCAAACCATCAGCTAAGTGATTAGCAGATCTTGACTGAAAAATGGGTCTGTCTATTTTCCTTTAAATGTCCCTATTGCAAAGGTTATATATGAGATGCCACAAGTACATAAGCAACATGTACCAATCTATGCATAATTAAAATTGGATCACACCAAACATCTAATCTGACAGGATGCATATTGCTAATTTGCTATATTTCCTACAAGTAACAAAGAAACTAAGCTGACTATTGGTATTGATCTGTTCACTCCCATTAAATCCATTAGGTAGCATATATAAAGAACAACTAATTGAAAAATGACATAACAGATTGCTACATGCATTCCTCTTATAAGTTTGCATAAACATTCTTCTAAACTAAAAGGCTGCATGTGCAGAAAATAACTTTTAAAGAAGTTATACAACCATACAAGGCACAGACATTGGTGAACTCTCACACCATTAAGAATTGAGCATGGATTAACCAATTATTTAAGAAGAATGATTTTCTCACAAGAATTAATAGCAAGAGCTCACATTTTCAGAAGATGGCATGGTTCCAGTAGGTGTATTGTCTCCCCCTGACAAGAATAAATGACAACTTTTGTATAGAGCATCTTCTCTTGGACACAAATCTACATCTCTAGCTTCATGAGTATCTTCTTGAACAAAGACCAAATCCTGACCACAGCAATGAGCAAAACCCCGTCAAAAAGACATTTTGTGAAATGAAATCCTACCAAAAATTTGTTGAAAGCGATATGACAACCATAGAAAAAACAATTCGGTAAGGCAGTAATGCAAATTCATGGGCGTTTTGATGTCCCTAGGCAAACCATGGCCTAGGATTTTTTTTTATTGGTCTACACCATGGCCTAAGATGATGCCTGAGTGATAACAAAGCAATAAAAAAACAATAGTACTTAAATAATTTGGACAATAGTACTGAAATAATTCAGCACCTTGGAAATTCAGATTTGTCTTTAGAGAAATTAACCTACTTGCAAAGAGATACAACTCTAGTTTTGGTTGGGTAAAAAGGGAAGCAATTGGGCTGGCAGATGTTCTACCCAAGCAAGGAATTGATAGACGTACACTCTTCTCGGCATTATTGTAATCTGTTGTAAATCTGATTACATTTTTGATGGACTGTTTGTACTAAATTTCTAAATCGATAATTTTTAAATTAATAAATACTTCTCATTTTCTGATCAAAAAAGTAAATAAATAATATAGAATTACATATTGCAAGGTGCCAACCAGCTGGTTGGTAAGGTTCCTCCTAGGCGTAGTGGAGACTTGGAATTGAATCCCGCCTACACCGGGGTTGGGGTCATGGTGCCAACAATCTAAGGGTATAGAGCACTCTATTTTACATCGAGGGTTTTAAACTTGCAGTAAACCAAGAACAAAGAATGTTATGGTACAAGGTTTAAAATGTCGGTCTTGGTGGAATATCGGTCATCCAGATATAGGAAACATTTCAGAAATGTCATATGGAAATAGTGTAAAAATAAAAGATATTATGGAAACATTGTGCACTATGTGATTTTCTTTTTGTTTTTTGAAAATAAGATGTGAAAATATAGAATGATATTCTGTGAAATGATAAAAGAAGTATAGATACACCTTGTCACCCTTTTAAATTACTAATTTTGTTCCAAACCATCAAACAAAGCTAAGAAACTGAGGTTAATAAACAAAATAATATGATGTAACCACACATGCTTAAAAGGAGCAATCTAAGTAATATGTACTTTTTATCAACAAACTAAATTGTATGTATACTTATAAGAATTGTTGTCAATAAAATTGAGGCTTAAGCAACCAAAGCTAAAGATGACCTTGGTGTTCGTGCTAATGGTAGCCCAATAGAGAGGAAACTGAGCATAGTCGTGAGATTTCAAAACTGAAACACCAAATTTTGGCACAGAATGACAGAATGCAGGCAAATGGATTAGAATTTACAATATATCATATTGGAAGCCTTCCTATTCTTGATAAGTCATGCTCCACTAAGTAAATAGAGTGGGAACTGGGCAGTACAAACTCAACTACGACTAGCAGGAGTCGTTCTCCACTGCTAGTTGTAATGGAGACTTGTTGACATTCTTGTATTGTCAACAAGGAGAGTCAAACTCGACCCACCCTTCCCATTTTATAAGCTTCCATTGCTTCTACATTCTTTTATGCGGCTATAGAATGAATGTCTACAGCCTTTAATGTATCAATCCTATAACTCAGACTTTGTTGTTTTTTTGTGATGGGGCTCTCTTTGTAAAATCCCTATTCGATTCTAAGTTGAAATAGAGAAGAAAAAGAAGAGAAAGAAGAAGGAGGAGAAGGGTTCGGCCAGATGAGGAAAAATCAGTCCTCTCTAATCGACCCACTTGTATTTATCTTAAAATAAGTTTGGTTACAAGAAAGACTATATTGCCCCTCATAAGTGATGGGGCACACAACTTAGACCAGAATAAAACAGACCTTTCACTCTCACATAGATACACTCAAATGACCAAAAGACCCATGTTCTATGAACTCTAACACTCCCCCTCAAGCTGGAGAGTACATGTCATATAGTCCCAGCTTGTCACAAATATAATCTACTCTAACTCGAGACAATCCCTTTGTAAAGAGATCTGCCCACCGATTTCCCAAGCTCACATGAGATGTGGTTATCACTCCACTGATCACTTTCTCTCTTACAAATGACAATCAACCTCAATATGCTTGGTTCTCTCATGGAAGACTGGATTGAAAGAGATGTGACAGCTGCTTGGTTATCACAGTATAGTGTCATAGGTTTGTCAACTGAGAACCCCATCTCTTGTTGCAAGTTCTTCAACCATACCAGTTCACATGTGGTATGAGCCATAGCTCTGTACTCAGCTTCTACACTACTCCTTGCCACCACTATTTGTTTCTTGCTCTTCCAAATTACAAGATTGCCACCAAGGAAGGTACAATACCTTGTAGTTGATCTCTTGTCTAATACAAAACCAGCCCAATCAGCATCTGTATACCCTACTATCTCGAGGGGCCCTCCACTTTTATATAATAAACCACGGCCTGGAGCACCCTTCAGGTACCTAGCGATCCTTAGAACTGCTTCCCAATGAGAAATCCGAGGGTGTTGCATAAACTGACTCACCATACTCACAGCAAATGATATATCTGGTCGGGTAATAGTCAGATAATTCAACTTTCCCACCAACCTCCTGTATCTTCCAGGATCATCAAACTCCTCGCCTGCATCAACACTCAACTTGACATTCAGTTCCATAGGAGTCTCTGTTGGTTTAGCACCTAACAACCCTGTTTCTTCAAGTAGGTCAAGAACATATTTTCTTTGACATGAGCTAACTCCATGTCTTGACCTTGCAACTTCTATTCCCAGGAAGTACTTCAGCTTACCCAAATCTTTCGTATTGAAGTGGTCCTGTAAGAATTTCTTCAACCTGTCACTCCCAGTTATGACAATATCATCCACATAAACCACTAACAAGATTTTTCCATCTTTTGAGTCATGGCTGAACACAGAATAGTCTACCTGACATTGTTTCATCCCAAAGTCTTTCACTACTTCACTGAACCTGCCAAACCATGCGCGTGGAAATTGTTTCAGTCCATAAATTGCCTTTTTGAGTCTACAAACCTTACCATCCTCCTCCTGAGCAACAAACCCTGGCGGTTGCTCCATATACACTTCCTCAATGAGATCACCATGTAGGAAAGCATTTTTTATGTCAAGTTGCACAAGAGGCCAATCATACATAGCAACTAATGAAATCAACACCCGAACTGAACCAATTTTAGCCACAGGAGAAAATGTCTCCATATAGTCCACACCATACAGCTGAGAATAGCCCTTGGCCACTAACCTGGCCTTCAATCGCTCCACACTGCCATCTGGAAGATACTTCACTATGTAAACCCACTTACACCCAACAACATGCTTACCAGGAGGAAGAGCAGTGAGTTCCCACATGTGATTGTGTTGTAGAGTAAAGAGTTCCTCTTCCATGGCTTGCCGCCACCCTAGGGAGGTAAGGGCTTCTTGGACAATCTTGGGAATGGAAACAGATGATAGCAATGATATAAAGTTGTGATGAGAAGCAGAAAGGTGAGCAACGGAAACATAGTGTCAAATAGGATGAGAAGTACAAGTGCGTTTACCTTTTCGCAGGGCAATAGGAAGATCAAGGTCCGAGGGAGAAGCAACCATAGGATCTATCGACGAGGGCTGGATTGGAGGAAGGGCCGGTGCGCTTCTATGAGTATACACTTGTCTGATTGGTGGTCTCTCACTAGTAATTGGCACGGGAGGAGGAACTACAGGGGGAACTGCAACTGGAATGGGGACCATGGGAAGAGGATCCTCAATAGGGACAGGAAGAGAAACTACAAGAGAAGGAGAAGAAACCACAGTGTCCGAGAAAAAAGGAACCGATTCAAAGAAGGTGACATTGGAGCACACAAATGACTTATGGGAGTTAGGGTTATAGCACTTATACCCTTTTTTTGAATCCTGGAGTAACCAAGGAAGATACACTTAGTAGATTGTGCATCTAACTTGTCTAAACCATACCCCAAATTTTGAACAAAGCAAACACACCCAAAGACTCTCGAAGTAAGAGAAAATGGGGACAAGGTAGGAAACAACACCGAGAAGGGGGATTGACTTCCAAGGATGGACATGGGCATCCGATTGATGAGAAAACATGATGTAAGGATAGCATCACTCCAAAAATGCTTTAGGACATTCATATTAAGCATCATAGACCGAGCAGTTTCAAGGAGATGTCGATTTTTGCGTTCAGCTACACCGTTCTGTCGTGGGGTGTAGGAACACGAGTTTTGATGAATTATCCCATGGTGCTCTAAGTATTGCTGAAATGGTGTTGAGATGTACTCTTTTGCATTATCGGAGCGAAGAATTTTAAATATGAGCACCAAACTGTGTACGTATTTGAGCATAAAATTTCTGAAAAATGGAAAACAATTCACTACGATCTTTCATAAGATAAATTCATGTCATTCTTGAAAAGTCATCAACAAAAATTACAAAATACTTATAGCCATTGTATGACATCACTTTGATTGAACCCCAAACATCAGAATGAACTAAAGAAAAAGGACTCAAAACACGACTATCAACTCTTAGACTGAAAGAGACTCTATGATGTTTCCCAAGCTGACACAATTCACAATCCAACGATGAAAGATGACTCGAAGAAGGAACCAGCAACTTCAAAGTTTTGAGAGAAGGATGACCAAGTCTACAGTGCCATTGAAGATGAGTAAGAAACAACTGAAAGGCTATTGGAGGACCACCACCATCAAGGTAATACAATCCACCTGCCTCATGCCCTCCACCAATCTTCATCCCCATCTTGAGATCCTGAAACACACAAGAAGAGGGATAAAAGGTTATGGGACAATTAAGTGACTTGGTTAATCTACTAACAGACATAAGGTTAAAAGGGAACTTAGGAACATATAAAACAGATGATAAAGAGAAGGAGGAGAGATCAACATCACCAACACCACAAATGGGAGATGTAGAACCATTAGCAAGAGTAACCGTTTGAGATGTGGAAGACCGAGAAAGAGAAAAGAATACATTTGGAGTCCCAGACATATGGTCCGAGGCTCCGGAGTCAATGATCCAGTGTGAAGGC